CTGTCTTCAAAAAAGGCAATCCAGATTTGGTGGGAAACTATAGGCCAATTTCTTTACTCTCCCCTATTTAATATTTGCCTATATTTTGATTTACTTTTTTGTGAGAATATCATTCTCGAACAAGTTTTGTAAATTTTTAGTAATGTATTTTAATGTATTTTTCTTTCCAACGTGTTAATATAATTATCGTAACTTAGATACATATTTATAATTTTACGACTAGTATTATTATTATTTTTTTTCGATTGAAAAGGCGGCTTTGGTCAATGAGTCTTTTTTTGACTCTTCACGGTCACCCTGAGCCTTGTTCTTTTTTTGAGGGGTTCTAATAAAATTGTATAGTATTGTATTGCATAAAAATCAATAATTAACAGAAAATAATTTTTATTTAAAATCATAATCATAATAGCTAGTCATCACTGCTCTTCATTTAAAAAATATGATGATAGAATAGTTATGAAAAATGGATTCATGCATTGTTTCGATTGCAATATATGGCATATGAAGACGATATGACATGGTTAATTAAGCTATGGCGGAAATAATCGGTCCAATCGAATTTGATGAAAGATAAATTGACGTTTTGTAAAAGCCTACAGGAGATAATTCGAAAGTATTTATTAAAATGTTATAGTGTTTAAAATCGTTCATTAAGTTATTTTTGAAACTGGTTGTTTATTTGTCGACTTTGTATCGTATCGTTTGAGTGCTGCCAGAGAGCTACTATTTGACAGAACGTGTTTCACGTTGCAAAGAGGGCATAGCACATCTACCAAGCTAAGGATTGGAAAAAGAAATTTTTCTGTTTGTGGTCCCACTCTGTAGAAACAGTTTGCCATGTTATTCAGGAAATCTTGATTTAAGTTTACTTTTGTTTTAAAAATTACTGAAGTCTTATCTTTTCACATTATAGAATTTTTTTTGGTTTTGTTATGTTTTTGTGACTTTTATGCAATTATATCATTTTGGTTTCGATGTTTGATTCTCTTTAATGTGGTTGGTTGATGTTATTTATTAATTTATTTTGGTGAATGTTTCTAGTTGGTTCTATTATTTGGTGAATGATCAAGGAAAGTGACTGATTTCGTATGCCCTGCCTGTATCAACCCGCGACAACGGAGCCCAGATGATGATACGATTACCTGGATCGAAACTGTTACTTCATTCCAGTATTTGGGAGATACGCTGGATTGTAATGGAACAGCTGATGTCGCCGTTCGTGGATGCATACGTGTGGCGTGGTGCAGATGGCACCTCCTTGCCTCGGTACTGATGCGGCGTAGCATTCTTCTACCCCTGTGCTCAGAGCTATACGACACAGCTATATGTTCTGTTCTGATGTATGGTGCAAAAACGTGGCCGATGACAACAAAACTCGAACAGCAGCTTCACCGAACTGACATGAAGATGATTTGTTGGATGCAGCATGTTGACCTAAGGGACCATATCAATACAACCGAGATCCTGAACCGATCGGGACTGTGCATGTTGAAGGATGCATGTCGTCGTCATCGCCTACGTTGGTTTGGCCACGTGAAGCGAAGCGAAAACGATACAATAATTTCTGTTACTGAGCACCAGCCAGATGCCTGGCACCCGCCCAAGAGGTCGCCCAAAAAAGTCATGGACGCAGACCGTACAGGAGTACTTGAAGGCACAGACGCAATGGATAGATTGGCTTGGAGACAGAAGCTGATGAATGGAATAAAAAAGTCCGACCCATAACTGATAGAGACTATAAACGAGGATCGATTGATTGATTTGGTAAATGATTATTAGACGCATATTAGGCCGCCTCTGGGCCCTAGTGGGGTGCGGGGCCTAGAGCGAGTTAGGGGTTGCGGGGCCTAGTAGTTCAAGTTGGGAGTGCGAAGCGAGCCATAACAAACGAACAAGGAAAACAATAATTTACATAAAATTACTGGGGTATAACGAAATAAAAATAAATTATTACATTTTATCAAAACAGGTTTATTTCTGGACAAATTGGTAAAATATAAAGATAGAAAAAAATTATTTAAATGATTTGACTTGTTCAACTAAATTATATATATATAAATATACATATATGAAATTTAAGTACAATAATGTTCATGAGATAATCACAGCCGAAAATCCACTTTGTTTGCCTTTTTGTTGGCAAATCCTTGAATCAATTTTTTGTAGTCTAATGTAGAAGCAATTTTTTCTTCTATGGACAACATAACTAGACCACACAATCTTTCCTGATGCATTGTAGATCGGAGATAATTTTTTATCAATTTGAGTTTTGAAAAACTTCGCTCAGCTGTAGCTACAGTGACTTGTACTGTTAAGAGAATTCTGTAAGCTATAGCAGCATTTGGGAAAGAATCTGCTAGATGTGCAAAATATTTTTACCGGAGTCATATATCTATATTAATTAAATATCTATGAACGGAATGCATCATATACACAGAATAAATATATTGGCTCTCGAATTAATTAGCGCAGTATACGTCATAATGTTAGAAAAAATTCAAATAAAAACACAAAATAACTAAAAAATTCAAATCCATCTTGTCTAGAAGGAAGATCTTTATTTTCATCAGCTTGTTCAGTTCTGTGTTTATTTCAAAATGAATAATGTAATTCAAGTACAAAATATTTTTCTGGAATGTTTAAAACTTCACCACAATTTAAAAATTTGCTTATTATCAAATCGATAATTTTCATTCATTTTATAAAAATGTATTTTTTTTGCTTCTGGAGGATTTTGAGTTCCATTTATAATTTGATAATAACGTTGATGAGCATCCCATCGGAATTTATATAATGAAATACTTAAACTTCGATTATATGTAATATATAATATTGCCTTTGGAGATTTTTATCGAATTTAGTAATTGCCTTTGGAGGTTTTTATCGAAGTTAATAATACAAATTCATCAAAAAAATTTGGATATTCAAAAAATAATTTTGAAAGCGCGGGGCCTGGGACGGCTTTAAGCCGCCTCTGCCATAACGGATGGAGACTATAAACGAGGATTGATTGATTGATTTGGTGAATGATTATTAGTATGAATAATAATAATAATAATAATAATAATAATTTCATTTTATATAGCGCCTTGGCAAGCGACTGAGGCGCATTATTATTATTACAACAAACACACAGTGCATAAATACACGTGAATCAACGCATCACACACTTTTGCATGTGATAGGCGGGGATCTTTTTGTTTGCATTCGAATCCGGACACTGCATCAACAATGCCAGGCACCTTAGCCATTACACCATCGCGCCGCCCGAATGCATTTATAAAGAGAACAACTCATTTGAAGGTGTAGCTGTTGGGATTGAAATTATTTATCGGGTTCGATTATTGTTGGGGATTTTTATTTCTGTGGATTTATTGCTGTTATTTTGTGATTGGGAATTTAATATGAATATGATAGCGCCTTTGGGATATTGATTTAATTGGCGCTTTATAAATGTTCTAACAGTAATAATATTAATTGGTTGTTCTGCCCCATCTGTGAAGGTTGGCATTTATAGGCAGTTGCTGTATAATGTATTTTTTTTGAAAATTTATAAAGAACCTCGGATAGTTTTATTGTCAATCTAGACCATCGTGTAATCTCTGAGTCATGGATGTGTTCTTTTACTGATTTGACTAGAACCTCTTGACATTGTAATTACTCTTAGATACAATTACGGAGTAGTAATCATATACTGATCTAATCAAATCACGCACTTGTTTCGTTTGCTGGTTCGTTGGCGTCACCTTTTTGTGAATTAATATTGTCAAGTCTCTTCTCCAGCACATAGATATTGGCGACGATTTCCAGCATTCAACCAGCAGTTGGTAAGGAATTGTGCGGGACATTTTTTGAGAATTATTATGGATATTTGGTCTAAGGGACGGGGTGATGCTCTTGACTTGCATTTACGTATGATAGATGAAATTTCATTGTATGTTGGAGGATTAACACAGCATGGAAATGATGGTTTTGTCGGGGTGTGGATTCAGTTTGGCATACGGAATTCTTTGATGTGCTGATTATTTAAGAGGTTTTTGACAGGGGTAGCAAACCGTTTGATGAACTGAACAAATTTTTACAAATGGCCCAAAACTTCTGTTGAACTGATTGGCGATATCTGAATTTTTTCTAATTTTTAGCGCTTTCAAAGACGATAGTTTTGATCTTATTACTTTACTAAGCGCTTTAATTCGAGAGTCATAATTGTGGTTGTTACGGCCCAGGACTTTGAATTGTTTCGGCTCCTTCTTTAATTTGTTGATTGGTTTGTTTTGTTCTACAGATAGAATTGTTTTTGGTTTCATCATTCCGTATTTTAAGTAGTCGTAAGCGAAGTAGAAGCGAACAACATACGACTACTTCGCTGTTAAGTAAGCGAAGTAGTCGTATGTTGTTGATTGTAGACTGTTGGTGAAGTTGTCGATGTTGTTGACCTCAGGCAGAATTGCCCTCTGCAAATGGAAATAGGCGTTTGCCTCAGCCTATAATAATAACAACAACATTAATAATAATATCAATAATAATGATAATAAATTGATTTAATTTTGCGCCTCACAATTTTGATGCTGTTGTTGCCACCTTGACAACTATCGTTCACATTTTTTAAGCTTTTCGTTGTTAAAATTTTTCATTAGAATTTCATGTTCTTTTTCCGAATTTATTTGTATATATTAATATTTTTAATAATATCAAAACTACAATAATTCTAAATCAATATATAATGCACCGACGACGACGGTTTAACGTCGAAATAGATCTATCTGCAATAATTTTAATAAAATGTTTGTTAATAGAAATAAAATTTCAATTTAGAACAGACTTAATTTTGTCGATAAAAAATTTACTAAGACAAAGTGAAATTCGAATATAAGTTGATAAACACTAATAATTCAGCGGAATTTTGGTTATAGAAATTTAATTTTTTAATTATAGATTATGAATAGAGTATTTTAATAAATATAATATATATATATATATATATATATATATATATATAGGTTGCTAGCACACGTTAATGATCCCAAACTTGACGATGATACACCAAGAGATTATATCTTATATTTGTGCCCTGTTGGTCAGCTACATCAAAAGTTTCTCAATTTCTGGCAGAGCTCATATCAAGAATGTGGATGGAATAATGCACTTTCTTATTTCCCACATATGACCCTTAGCTCTTTTTTCCAAGTCTGTTATGATTATTTTGTTATTTGGATACATTTTTATAGTAATTTGTTTTCAATGAATCTTTTTCATATGGGGTACAGGCAGATGATAGGCTAGTTTCTCATTTGTCACATGTGCTTAAGATGGTCACAGAGAAAATTGAAGATCCCCCTGAAAAAATGGACTTTGATGTGTTTACTTCTAACAAATATATCGGTCTTTTTGCTCGAGAAAACCATGAGACATTTCTTAAAAACGTCACCAGCAAATTTGCTGAGGAGATGAAGAAAGCAGGTCGATTTGTAGATTTTTTCCTTATTGCTTATTCTAACAGATTTGTTGATAGAAATTTTTTCATAAATTGTTAATGCCAGTTTTCAATGAATAATTCACATGCGAAGTATGAATTGATCAAAATTAATAAAATATTTTAAGGTTTATGTTAATAAAAAACAATTGAAAACATCTAACTGGCTGTTTCTTTGAAAACTTTTATCAACAATAACTTGCAGGCATTGAGGTGGAAGTGCACAAAAAACAACTGCACATCAGCATGGCTTACCATTTTGCTGTAGAAAAAAAAGACAAATTAGATGCCCTGTTAAGTGAAATTGATCTAAACACACCTGCTAGATGGGATCTCAGAATATATTCAAGAAGTTCCATGGAACCAAATTATCAGGTTAACTATCAGTCTAATTGTTCATATTGTTTTTTTTGGTGCTGAATTTCAACTACTTTTAAACTACTATGTGTAAAAGTAACTGAAAAATTAATTTTTACAATGTTCCTTTAATTGTTTAATTTTGTTTTATTTACAACAGTATATCTATAATTTTTAATATTTGCATTTCAATTGTCAGACATTGACTTATATTGTAAGCTTAATAAAATTTATCAAAAAAGTTATTTTATTAGCTTGGCTGTGAGACGACACCCGTTGTGTTTTGTTAAAATGCTATGCAGTACCAAATTAAATTGCAAAAACAGCAAATAAAGATATAGCGTCCACATTTTATTTCACCTTTGATTTTCAAAGTGTTTTCTATCTCAGATCAGATTTTATTGAGCTCATCATTTCCACTCTAACCTGTTCTGTAATGTCTTGGCAAGTCTCCCAACTTACCTTTTTTTATTCTTATTTCAACTAGTTCAGCGGTACGCTACATATTTCTGATCTCTAAGCAAAATTTTGTTTATGTCGTTTATGCAAATTAATTTTTTTATATTATCATTTTTCTCCTTTTGTCTTCAACTGATTCTCATCAACCTTACCACATTGCTCAATTTAAATGCTTCTAAATTTTCTCTCTCCTTTGATTTCCATATTTTCGTGATAACAGCGTAGAAAAAACTGGTTGGACATAGATATGCATGTTGTCTTCAAACATTCTCTGATGGAATAACCAAGAAAATATTAAAGCTGTTTAGCCATTGCCAAGTCAACAAAATTTTCTTTGCTGTATATCTTGCAACATATTTTTCACACTGTCTTGAACATTAGCAATACAAAAATAGGCATCTGGAATGAGTTAATGTGTCTGTTAACTATTTTTAAATTAATTGTAAAAATTATAGTTAAAAGTTTTTCTGTTTTAAAATGCCGGGAGGTAAAGGTAAAGTAGAAGACCGGAAAATAGTATGTGAAATTGCCGGATTTCGATTGTGTGAATCTTGTGGAAGAGCAAATGAAGAGAAGCTGAAAAATTTGGCTCAAACAGAAGAAATAAAGCTTCAAGCTCTGTCTATTTCTGAAAGTTTAGTGGATATTCGAAGTGTCTTAGATAATGTTGTAGTAAATCAGGGGAAATATGCAGAACAAGAAATGCAGATTAAAGAATTAAATAAGAAAATGGAAAAGTTCTGTGATGAAACTCAGAATAGATTAAAAGAAAATGAAAAGTTAGCTAGAAAATGGTCAGATGTATTAAAAGATAAAGTGGAAACGTTAGCTTCTTGGGTTACAAAAATTTAAAACTCTGTTACTGATACTAAAAATAAGATTAATCTAACAAATGAAAGAGGAAAGGAAAAATAATGTTGTAATATATAAAATGAACCAACCATCAAGTTAAAGGATTCAGTTTTAAAAGTGTTGTCAACAATTGTAGGTCAAGACATAGAAAAATACATCTTTGATGTGATGAGACTTAGAAAAAAACAAGAAGGAATGCAAAAGCCCAGACCAGTTTTAATAAAGTTTAAAAATTATTCAATCAAAAATTTTGTAATGGAAAATTGTGTGAATCTAAAAATTTTTTCAGAATTAAAAAAAGTGATTATTAATAATGATTTGCCAAAGGAAGACAGAGAGGAAATTCAAATCATACTTGAAAAAAAGAAAAAAGAGAAAAGAAGTCAGTCAATTTGATGATGCTAGCAAGTGGATATTTAGAGTGAAGGGACAACATGGAGATTTCTATGTAGTGGTCTTCAAAAGGCAAAATTTATAATAAATATTAATGAAAGAGTGAAAGTAAATATCAATAAAAGAGTAAAAGTTAATTTTAGAGCTAGTGCACATCCTCAAAATCTTGAAATTGAGAGGTGGATTCAGAGCTGGAAATGAAGATTAAAGGACAACAGAAGATTATAAACAAGTAATCTGGGCATACCAATAAGCAAAAGTAGTAAAACAAGATAATATAACTCAAAATACTTATGAAATATGGAGAAATAAAAATTTGAATAATTTTCCTAATATGACTCCCAAAAAACTAAACAACATGAGAAGATTTACCATANATCAAAATAAGCTAACTACGGCTGAGTTTGAAGAT